TCCAGAGCGACCAATCTCTCATTTGGTTCAACTAGTCTGCCGTCGGATCAAAAAATAACCTAGCTTAACTACATAATAACTGCAATCAGTAAAGGATTATCTACCGCTGCAATTGGTACACAGTGTGGAGAGTCCAGTAACTCGCTAACCGCATTTTGTGCGGCGGGCAGTTGGTTACATTGTTGACGACTGAAGAGTCATTCTGCATGTTGCGGTGTTCTTGATAGTTAGTCATTATTATTATTATTATCCTACGTTGCTCGCCAGGGGCACTGCCTTGTTCAACTTAAGTATTTCATAAGATATGAAAGGCGTCGACAAATTTAACTGACGTTAATAAAATAAAATTCATCTACATTCTTTTCGATGGTAACGCACCTAACTGGCTCGCGAGAGTCGCGTGGCGGCTCGAATAGGGGGACAAAAGTGAAGCGGAATGGGGGTAGGGGCTCTCCAGAAGGGTCTAAGAGGGAAAGGTGGCGGAAGGAACGCCGCTAACCCGTTAGTCAGGGCCTCGGACGCCGCGCGGTTTCTTCGAGGGTCGAAGGGCCGGGCGAGTCCTAGATAATAGCGGGGAAATCCTAGGGAAAGGACGGGGATCTCCGGGAAACTTTCAGCGAGAACTGAGTAACTCTAACAATAGATAAAAGGGGCTGCGAGTGGCGCCTTTGTATTTCTAATTCTCTATGGAACGGCGGGCAATACAAAATTATAATACCGGAGGAGTATTATCTCCAGTAGGGGGAGGAGTTGATTAAGCATACTTCTCCTGTTTTTTTCTTTTTTTTTTTCCTTTTTGGAAGGTTTGGGCGCTAAATGGCATTAGCATCAAATTCGGTGGAAGGTACCCAAAATGTACTTTGTCTCTCTGATGAGGGAGACGCAATGATTTATGGGTGGTGTTTATCGAGGCAGGAATGATGTGTGAGTCCCCCTATACATATAGGACGCACGCAACGGCTGGACAGCTGTGGACTAGGCGCTTTGTGTGTGTTGATACACGGACGCATGCACACGCCAGTTTGACGCTCCGCCTAGATTCGGCAACCGTTGCTAAGAAGACCCTAAATCACTCTTTCCGAACTCAAAAATTGCGAAAAAGGTGTTTCACGGGCACAACGATTTTTTAAATACTTTAATTCTTTCCGTGAAGTGATGTCGGCTCCTGGAACAAAATTTCAGACTTTTGGAGAATGATCAAGATTTTAAGAATTAGTTTCAGAGAATTTCTGAGAGTCTACCAAGAGTTTCCTAAGAATTCGAGTCAACTAAGAGTGTTGAAGAAGTAGTCTACTAAGAGAGTTCCTAAGAATCTTTGCTAGGAATCATTAAGAAATGGGACTACGAATCTATGGGCTCGCTGCTTAAGCGCTAACTTTTATACTATTTCCACCCCCCAACGCTTGAGTCCCAAAATTTGAGTGAGGGTAAAGAGTCAAATTCCTATTGGGAGGATTTGGGGTGGTGGGAATTGGAAAAATCAATCATTGGAGAAAATCATAGAGAGTGGGGTTGGAGAATTTTTTATTGGCACAGAAGTTAGAAAAATGGGACTTCGGGGGATGAGTGGGATTTGGAAGTTTCTAATTAGCTTGGAGTAGGGAAATTTGGGAGAAAATGTTACCAGAAGTGGGAGGTTGACTTTCTTTTTCTAGGAAGACTAATAAACATTAAGGTTTGAGCCGAATTTATGGCTCAAACGTGCAAGGGTGATTCGGTTATCGCGGGGGTCCCGTTTCCCTATCTTCTATTCTACGAGGCTTAAAGTACCGGGCTCCCGCTGCCTTATTTACTATTTCTCGGGGTCGGCGGGTCGTGGGACTAAAACAGGGTGGCCCTTGGTTATTTGGGTTTAAGAAAAAATGACATCTTTACGAGTCCTCTTGAATGCCCTGGGCCCTGTTACGTCTGGGAGGATCGCAACAGGGAAAAAGAAATAGAAGAGTTTATCCTTTGAAGAATCTAAATTTTATTCTAAAGTGATGATTTCGGGCCCCCCTTGGGAATGATTATCCTCCACCCGGCTTTCCTCTCCTGACCTTTGTACGGGAGGCAAATCGATCGGGATTAGCCTCCACTCAGGTATCCGTATTTCTACGGACGAAAGCCTGGGTGGGATTGCGCGGTCGGTACTCCTCGGGGTCGAGGCTTCGATTAACGCCTTGATAGCCTTAAGGCGCCGCGGGGAGAGGACGAGTTGGGTGGCGGATTTTCCGGTGCCTGTAGCTTCCCGGGCGGCCTTCCGTTCCGTGCGTCGGTGGGGTGGTCGCCTGGTAGGACGTTTAGTGCGCCCCTCTGCCTCCGCGAAGGTTTTTAGAAGAGTTACTCTCCTCCCCGACCGCTTAACCATCTATGAGGAAGGTAAGGCGAAACTCAGGGTTATGTGGAGATTGGTGGTGTAGCGTGCCGTGATGAAAGATAGGGAGACGGAGAGAGGGGAGTCGCATATGGAAGGGGGTGCGTGACCCAGCACCCGCGCNCCGGTATTTCACCAAATTGATGGTGTTGGGCTTTATACGATGGACAGTTTCCGGGATATCGCAAATACAGAGAACGTGGAACTTTTCGAACGTAAAGGCGTAGAAAGTTCATATAAACAAAAATGTCATACTATGGAAGCAGTAAAAATAATGGAGGATGAGTTGAAAAGCGTTCTTCTCGGACTGGCATGGACCATTTTTGGAAAAGGTAACACCAAAAATAGCTTATTGTACGATTTATGTTATTTTTCAGACATATATTGACGGGCTTCTTAAAAATAAAATTCACTGTAAAACAGAGTTAAAAATGTCACAAATGCAAGAAATAATCATTCTGTTTCTAAAAAATCAAATCAAATTTTGTAATTATGACGAATTAATTTTTTGTGAAAATATTATTATATATGCACGTGCAGGATTATATATATATATTTATTTATTTATTAAGAACGCACGTGCAGGAGGCGTTACGCGGGACGTAACAGCCCCCTGGTCTCAGTCCGATGCACGTGCAGGATTTTATATATTTTGTAACGTGGTGGGCTCGATGCCCCCTCACGTTACGGGGGATCAGGTCCATCGGAGGATGAGCCTAGTCCCCCGCACCCTTTTTTAGACATGTATTAGACGGAGGAGACCCTCCAATTACCCCTTAGAGTTCGATGTTACCGGTCACTACCTAAGGAAAAATCCCACATGTCCTTTCAATGCTACGTAGGGCCAGGTGGGCTATGTGGAATGGGTTGAAATTGGCATTGAGACCTCTCCATTACCTTTCTCGGTAGGACCCCTGGTTTTTTCTTTATAACAACTATTATACATTGTCTTATTCTAATTAGAAGACCAAGGTCTGATATTGGAAACCTCCTATGTGCCTTCATAAGGTCTCTGACTCAGCTGAGAGTTCCGAATCGTTTACTGCGTATCTATCGTTTCGCAGTACCTTCGCTATCTAATACGGTCCCTTAAACCGGGAATAAGTTTTTTTGGTGCTCCGGGTGTACTATCGGAATTTCGGATTCCTACGTAATCACCCTCTTTGTATTGCCGGTTTCAAGCGGTTCCCGCGGCCCAATCGGGGCGCGCGGCCGGCGTGTGACGTCATCCGCAGGTCCAGGGACGCAGCTCCTCTGGGACTCGGTGGTGCCTGTTCTGGGCTCCCTAGCGCCAAGTTTCTTCTAAATGTAGCCCGGGGCGCCGACATCTCTCGATGCAACGGCTCCCGCGTGAGGGGACCGGTGGGCCCTTCCGCCCTGGGGTCACTGTGGCCTGGCCTCGGCGTAGGAGGGCGACGCAAACGGAACCCCCCCTCGCCGCCCTTATAGGGACTGCGTCGAGTCAAAAGACACGGCAGGAAGCTCCACGGCTACCGGCAAAGCGCCCTCCTCCCGCCCTCGGTGAGGGGCCGGAAATCCGGGTACGCACGCGGTGACCCAGCGACCCCGCCATGGGTCGACCCTTGCCGTCGGCGCGGGGCTGCGGGTGGCTCGTCTTGGCCATACTTCGCGCGGCTCCGGCACCAATGGGCGGTGGCGGGGCGAGGCTCCTCTGCCACCGTAGCTATCCTCTTCTGAGGTCCCTCGAGGGCGCCCTTGTCCCGCGATGGATGTTGTCGTCGTGTTGTCCACACTCGCCTCACCGCGAGGACGTCCTATCTTCCAAGCTATACACAACTTATGATACCAAAAAAACGAAAGATAGCGCAACGGATTTTTGGACTCCTCTCCTCCCTGGCCTTGAACGTCGAGCGTGCTGTAATAAAACGTGGATGTAATGATACAAATAAAATATAATACCACTGCCTTTACGCGAACTTTACGCGAAAGGCAGCAACGAAGGAAACGAATTTGAATTCGACAACGAAAAACGAATTTTATTGTTTAACCCTACAAGAAAATATAGTGTATAAAGACGTATCTATGCCACATAGGAAGGACAGGCAGCTGACGCATATGTGAAGAGGGTGATTTTTGAACACGGGGGGTGAACCAGTGGAATTGAAAATTGAGCAATAAATAAGCAGTAAATTTTTCCTACATTTTGCACTATTTATTTTTTTAATTGTACAGAAAGCGTCAGGTAGAGCTGCTAGCTTAATGTTAAAGCTGGCACCGCCACCGTTTTTTCGAAAACGGCTGGAGCAATAAAATTCAAATTTCTCTAATAAATAAGCAATGCAAAAGCAATCAATGTTGGTATATGATTTATGGGGTTGTGCTGAAATGTCGCTGCTGTCTTTATGAACGTTAAGGTCAGCCCTGAAGGACATGGTTTCTTACACTGGCCTCGTAATTTCCGCAGGGAAGTAATTTATGTCCGCCAGTGTTCGTCCTTTCGGTCAAATTTTTGATACTTTTGTATCTTTTTGATTCCAACCATTGAAGTCAGTATTTGTGAAAACGCTTCTATTTTTACTGGAACATAATAAAGTAGCATTGATACAATATATCATTACAGGTTTATATTCATTATTTTTTATAATCAGTACAGTGTGTAAGTACACTTTTTCTTTCAGGTGCTGACTGGATCTAATTATTTGTGACCGTTGTCATTGAATACGACTAATGGCAACAAGAAAAATGATTAGCAACACCTTCATATTTCGCCAGTTTTCATCCAAAATCAATATTTTAGACAAAACGTATCCAACAGATTCGTGGACAAATTTAACACCGAAAATTCTTTCATACGTTGGAAAAAATCTGCACTTAGTTCCGTACCATCCTCTGTCTCTTCTGCGGCAACGAATCGTTAATTATGTTCAGGATATTTATCGCAAAAGAACTAATGAAAAATTATGCGTGTACGACATGTTAAATCCTGTTGTGACTGTTTATCAGAATTTTGATTCTCTATTGATTCCTAAGGATCACATTAGTCGATGTAAGAATGATTGCTATTATGTAAATCGAGACCATTTGTTAAGAGCCCATACAACGGCCCATCAAGCCGAACTTATTTCTAAAGGATTGAAACAGTTTCTTGTTGTTGGGGATGTTTATCGTCGGGACGAGATTGACTCTACTCATTATCCGGTATTTCACCAAATTGATGGTGTTGGGCTTTATACGATGGACAGTTTCCGGGATATCGCAAATACAGAGAACGTGGAACTTTTCGAACGTAAAGGCGTAGAAAGTTCATATAAACAAAAATGTCATACTATGGAAGCAGTAAAAATAATGGAGGATGAGTTGAAAAGCGTTCTTCTCGGACTGGCATGGACCATTTTTGGAAAAGGTAACACCAAAAATAGCTTATTGTACGATTTATGTTATTTTTCAGACATATATTGACGGGCTTCTTAAAAATAAAATTCACTGTAAAACAGAGTTAAAAATGTCACAAATGCAAGAAATAATCATTCTGTTTCTAAAAAATCAAATCAAATTTTGTAATTATGACGAATTAATTTTTTGTGAAAATATTATTATATAAAAACTATATATATTTCTTAAATGCATTAATTTGAACATTATTTTCTCCATGCTTTTGGAAAACAAAAAATATTCTGTTGATATTTATTAAAATAATGTTATACATTCTCACACGATCGAGCCTGGAGGTTGTTTTCTAAGACTGCAGGGGGCGTGTGCATTGGCAACGGGGCACACTGGGACCCTCCTATGCAGTAGAGTTCTCAAAATTCGAATTTTAAATTTGATTGTAAGACACACACAGTACCGCTCGAACAATCGGTATTGCGTAAGGTCGGAATGGAAGGCAGTCATAAGGTGCATGGGAAATACATCTTTATGAAGACTAAGAGATGTATTGCGACGGGAGTGAGGGACCTCGCACCAACACCCTGCAATTTAGTGCCCTGCATGGGATCCCCCGCGAAATCCTTCAGCCGGCCGAACGATGAAGGGTGACTTTGCGTAACAGCTTGCGTGAATTTATTTTTATTCGGGCGCCAGGTATGCCTCGGCACACCACGAGCTAATCGCTTTCCCCGGCTAGGAAAAATCCGCCCGGCTCAGGGAGGATGCGGAGAACTCCCAGTCCGGCTACTCAGTCCCGCGAGGACCTAAACCGCCGCTCGTGGCACGGTAGAGGTGGGGGTTCCAGAATATACGGAGCGACGAAATAATTCGGATTTTAGGGTAAGTTTGGGACTCGAAAAAAAAAAACAGAACGTCACGAATACATATTAATTTCGCTATCGGTAGCTCTTTTATTTGATCTCAACATGAAAACACTTAGGGACCTTCACGGCCCAATGCCTCTCGGTTCTGCGATAACTTTTCCCGGCGCCCCGGGAGAACCACGGGGTCTTGCGCCTACTTAGAACACCGCCTCGGCTTCCGCGACAATTTGGAACCGAATCCAACCGGGCGGTTCCACACAAAAATTTACCGAGCGGTTACTACCACGGATCACACGCTTGTGGTATTTACACCCAATAAAAGAGCCTTGGACGGGAATCTAGGCCCGCGGCCTCGACCTTTCAGATCGGTTGCGTCGACATCTTACACGTATGTACAGTAAGCACCCCCACGTCGGAAATATGGAATAAAACCTATTAGAGGATTTAGTGCTTTTTTACTGCTATTTTAGTGCTACAACCTCAATTTTGGTGCTACAACTCCGATTTTAGTGTTACAACCCTGATTTTAGTGCTACAACCCCGATTTTTGTGCTCCATCCCTTATACCGAAAATCGATGGTGGTGCTGAGTGAACATTCACTCAGCATCCCCACAGTGCATACTTCATTGAGGAAGAGACTAACGGAAAAACGAGTACGCAGTATTTTGGTGTTATTTTAGTGCTCTAGAAATACAGAAGAGACAGATCCGAAACACCACCCCTTTCACCCCAAAACAACCTTCGGCCGTATGGATCTCAAGAGAGAAGGGACCGAAAATCTAATGGGTGGCACAGTTAAAGACATTTTCATTGCTTGGTGGCATTGTTCACATACTCAGAAACTAAGTTCATTAATACCTTGTTGTTCTGTTATCTGACCGTTTCTGCGGGGAACTCCGCAACTGTAATCTCCCCTTACCTCCGCCCGCCTTTCCTGCAATCCTCATCCCCTTCCTTCCAACCACCTTTCCTACAAGCCCCTTTCCCCATCACCCTGAAACGTGGACGCAACGTTTCCTCCCCCTACCCCCGCAAACGACCCTCCTACCCTCGACCTTGAGGTTTGGAATTTGCCGTCCGCCGTTCGATTCCAAGAATCGTGCGTCGGCGCCATCGAACACCGGAAGATTCGCAGCGAAGCCCGCAGCGAGAACTTTATCCGCCGCCGTCGACGCCGACTTTCCAATGACATCCGTTATTTCCCCTCGACACAGGAATCCGTCAACTTTGGAGAATTAGGAATCCGTTTGCTCTGGTAGACGTCGGACGAAAGCACTTTGGAACCTTCTGGAACCTTTACCTCGAAGGCGATAGCCGCTACCTTCCAAAAGGGTGATTGCAATTTTAAGAACTTTGTCAGCTGTCATCGGTCAAAAAATTTGCGGTGCAGATTTCGGCGGTAGCCACTACCTTTCCAAAAGGTGATCGCAATTCTAAGAACTTTACCCACCGATTTTAGGGCGGCAACCGTTATCTTCTCATGATGATGATCAAAAGAAAGGATCAGGTAGATTAATAATTCTCCATGCAGTAATAAAATCAAGAAACTCCAAATTTTATTCGTTAAACCAGTAACAAATCGGATTTTTATTCGGTGCCTCTTCCGGAACCTTGATTCGAGATTGCATTGAGAGAAGAATTTCTCGCACCGTTGTCAGGATTCGGTGGATTTTGATTCACCGTTGCGTATGAATTATTGTTGTCGAAAATGATCTTTCAGGTAAATCCGAGCGCCGCACCCACTCTTGGTACCAATCTCATCGAAATTGCTCTCTCTTCCCTGTGATTGTCCCATTTTTTAGGTTTTCAAAATGTCACCTCAATGTCTACCGTTTGCACACTAAACCTATGGTATCGTTGCGCCGCCATTTATTGCTATCCGGATAGTCTGGAAACGCGCGAAGGGTTTAGTCATCCAAGTGATACGGTCTTATCGTTTAAACAATTCCTAGAAACCTTGAAATCTTCGCATATATAAAGCCTTTCGAGGATGCGCCACCGTCATTGTTTGCGAAGGTTTCGCATACGATTAAAAAATGGATACCGCAAAGTGTAAGAAATTGATTGACATTATGTAGGGAGCTTATAAACTATTGAAGAAACAAAGATCGAATGCGGAAATTGAAAAGTGGGTAAAATTTGGTTTTCGGAACATTAGGTTCCTGTGTAAAATTTTGAAAAAAAAAAACGTCTCACTAACGATCGGGGAGAAGACAAAGATCTTAACGACCATCGGAACGTTAAAATCTCTGCATGAAAAGTTTAAACGATGTCGGAAGAGAGACGAAGGGGCAATAAGCGAGAGACGAATTGACAGAGTACACTGAGGTGACTTGAAATCGGCCTTCAAGGGAAGAATGAGAGCTGGAGTGATAACGAACCTGCGATGCAAGGACTTGAACCATTTCCTAGAGGATTCAAAAAAATTGTTCACTACCAGGGTGAATAACGTGCTTCGAAAAGATGGAAATGTGAAAGTGAACGTCGTCTAGTCGTGTAAATTCGTGACTACGAAGGGCGATGAGATCGTCGAAGAGATTAAATTCTTCAATAATAGAAATGAAATTATTCTACCTTCGACGAACTTCGACGAGTGGTATAAGGTGAACGCAGCGAACAAATTGCTGACCAAGATCGAAGACTTGCAAGAAAGAGAATCGGGCTGGTCATTGTTGGAAATTATGGACTTGACGGTGAACATCAATAGGTACATTCCTATCCACGGCGGTTGGCCAACCTTTACCAAATTACCTGAAGATATTCAACGAAAGAAAGCAGTTGTGAATATTAAAAATGGTGATCCATTTTGCTTCCTCTGGTCAGTAAATGCTGCTCTGTGTCCAGCGACATGTAATGTACACTGAATTAGTTCGTACCCACATTTCAATGCTGTGTTAAATTGCAAAGGTTTAAATTTTTCCATTGGTTTGAACGACGTGCCAAAGTTTGAAAGGATGAATAATTTAAAAATTAACATTTACGGTATAGAACGCGAAAAAAATAGCACCGTGATCGTACCGATCTAAGTCAGCAACGTTCGGATAAAGAGACAAATCATTTGCTCATGTTAGAAACGGAAATTTTTTCAAACGGTGCTGATGGTAAGGTGTATCATTTTGCTTGGATTAGAAATCTATCGTGACTTTTAAGTTCGCAAATTTCTAAACGAGAGCATGAGACGAAATTGTGCGATCAATGCCTGTGTCATTTTAAAACAAAAAATTCATTAGAAAAATATAGACTAGATTGCGTAAATTCGAATAAGTTGTAATGTTGTTAAGAATTTCATTCCATGATACTTTTGCATGATCTCTTTGATTAACGGCGGAGCCTCGTGGTCGGATTCCATTATCGCGTTAATATATCGAGCATCTAAACATATACGAATCTTCCCATCCGACTTTTTTTACAATTCGAAGTGGATTACAATACTGGCTAGTTGACCTTTCAATAATTCCCGTAGTCAACATTTTAGGATTCTCGTCTCGCACTGCCTCACGGAAAGCAAAGGGGACAGGATATGTCTTCCTAACCGCGGAGTCATGACGTTTCAACCTAATTGAATGTTTATAGGATCCTGTGGGGCGATCCTTATACATACATAATTTTCTATGTTTAAGCAATAGTCCTTCAATTTGAGCCAAATTCGAGGTGTTATGATCGACGTTCTCAAGTTCGAGTTCCAGATCAACATTCTGCGGACGACCGCGAGGTCTCTTTTTTTGTAGCTCCTGTCGCTACTTCGCTCTGCGTACCGCTCGCGCTCGAAATGCTCTTAGGCGAGTGACTAACGTTCGGCATAATGAAAATGTTTAACGGAATCGGAAATTTTCACAATTATCAAGGGCTAATCGAGCCCCACGTTGGACGCCAAAATGTAATGTTGTTTTCTTACTCTGTCTCTTTTACTAGTTCTCTTAACAAGACGAAAAACGGGATGTAGCATAAAATAACGATAGAGCTAGCGTAATTTAATATTATTCCTTAACAAGTCGCGAAATGAAACCAACAAATATACGATAGGGCTAGCGAAATACAGATGCTCACTTAAATGAGAATTTTACGAATCAGAAAATATAAATGTCTCTAAATTTGATTGGCCTCAATCCAGGGGATTCACTGCACTCGATGCGGGCGAGAAGGTTGTGT